TTTGTACATTAAGTCATGAAAGGCAACCATATTGATGTAGCTGTCTAGAAATACAAAAATTAACTTTCTAGATAAACTTCCTGAGCATATATCCATGTCTTGCTGAGGATGGTTCGATGAAGACTTATTCATCAATACAGTCTCATTTTACTTCGATACATTTGACCCAGAAATTTACTAACTTCTTACAACACGTTTTAAAAATTCATTTTCTGGTAGTCTGCATAGCGCCGACAGAGCAGAATATGAGCCATGCTTTCATTTAAGAAGCTTACTACCATCGGCGGTCTGCCAATATGAGATCGTTGACTTTAATTACGTTATCCTGCGTGTGATACATAGAGATGACTCATTAAAACATGAAATGAGAACTTTATGAAACACAGAAACAAATTTTAGACAGTCGCCATAGAGAGTCGTCCCGTATCATCCAAGAGCTCCTTGATTTCACTGAGCGATTTTCCTTTCGAAAACGATAATCAAAATGTACTTCACGACAATAACTTTCTACAGCAGTGCCATGAGACCGTGTGACGTCTTCGTATATAGAGAATTGTTGCCTACTCTCACCTAGAGTAAATTTTTTTCCCTAGAGGCATCTTCATGTGACACACTTACTAATAAAAGTCAGGGTGTACAATGTATCAAAGAAAGGTTTTATGTTAGCCACGCAATATTTATAGATTTCACTCGGAATCATGAAAATTCGAAAATCATCTGTTGTATATTGATTTTGTCTGAAATTCCGATATTTTAAGTAAAACTTCTCTTAAGCTTCTTATTTATGGAAATACTTCTTGTTCATATCTAACCGTTCGGAGGTGACATACGGTCCTCAGCTACGTTACTAAGCATCTCTTTTGCGACCTTTACTCGATGTCATTTTTGCGAAAGAGTCAGGTTATTTTGGCATCGACCCACTTCATAACCAAAACATTAACCAAAATGTGTTGAGTCATTCTATAAGAGATACTTGTATTCGTGACAAAGTAGACTCCCTAAACCACTTTCAATGAATCCGTAGCGGCGATTCGATTGGCAATAAAAAAATTCATGCAAACTCATTGTTCAATATTTTTTTCATTGTATTTAAAAATCGACAAACTTCTCGCGTTTTAAACAAATGCTTGCCAAATTCACACTAATTGGCCTAAGGAGTTAAAACTTTCCAAAAAAAAAAGATTATGCCAAAACAGGAAAAATTCTTATCGGTTCGATTTGTGTGCGCAGTTTAAATGGACCAGTTCATGTAAAATTTGATAAGTTATAACCAACATATTCTCATCATCAGTTACAGATATATAAGTGTATATGTCAGATCTTACAAATACAATTACTTTTATCTTGTTAGAATATCGTAATTACATTTCAAAAACTCAATGAGATAATTATAGGGTTTCACGGCTTAGTTCAAGCAGCAACGACATATTGCAAATAACAACCGGAACGAACCGAATGCTCATTTCACAGTTCGGAAACGCAAATAAACCGGCGCTTCCTCAACTCTTATGTTTTTGCAGAAAGCGAACTGGGTAAACTGTAATAAGCTTTGAACTATCTCAAAGGAAAATCAATGAAATTAGCAAACTACTTATATATAAAGCGTATTTAAAACGACGTACATCGATGCTGCACAGGATAAGCAGCGAGTAATGCATAAACATAACGAGATGAGCAAGGATTAGTGGCCACTAAGAGCTGAGCGCCTCGACAAAACACAAAAAGGCAGCGCGTGCCCATTCACAAGCGGCAAAGACAGGGATGAGCGGAAATTTGTCAGCACTTGGCGCTATGAGGATCGGCTTATCACTTGTGGCATGTGTAAGCATATATATATGTATACACTGTGTGGTATCTATTTATGATTGCTTATCGGCATTATGGCTCGTTGGCATTGGCTTTGTTCGTTGCCGCAGAATTTGCCATTTCCACAACAACTACATCATTAACTACTTGACCTAACTAAACGAGCTCATGTACACATATACAAACGCACACACGCATACAAATGCACACACACAGATATATATTATATATATGTACATACAAGGATGCACTGGCCGTGGGCACTACCAAATTCGATACGCTCATTTTCGAGTATCGCAATGCACGCATCTTGTTTACAACTTGGCAAATTTGCCTTAAGCCAATATTGTATTATTGTTGTTGTGGTAAAGGTTGCTTGTTGTAAGGCGTTTGAACGTTGCCGCACGTGCGACGCGCTCATCATACACCACTTACATATACATAATGTATCCGTGTGTGTATGTGACTTCTACGCCGGCGCAACTAATAAAGGCGCCACCTTCTGACTGTTAACAATTAAATGTGGCTGTTTTATTTGGCGTTTTGGCAAAGAATTTAGTATTTGAAATTATATTTTCTAGTATCGGTGGTTTTGTTGGCATCTTTTTTAGACTGGGGCTGGTCGTTTCATTTAATTAAATTGTGTGAGAAGGCCGCGCCGCCGCGTGATTCAACAGAATTTTTCTTTATATAATTTAGTAATTAGCGAAAGCGATGACTTTGTAAAAACGAAGCGTTGTGAAATACGAGCAAGTATTTACACAGTCAAAGTCGGTGGTCTTGGTTGGCTTGAGTTTGTATTAAGTAGGCGTGTTCAATCGAGTGTTCTATGCATTTTCGGTCAATGATGATAAAATAAATCCATTTAATTTAGTATTAAATAATAATCAAAGTACTGTACCTTAACTTATTGTACTATTTTATTACATTTGTATATTTTCTTGTAGAAATTTTCTTATTTTAGCGGCAGAAAACATTCACGAAATAATTTTATGCGAAGCTGTTGGATTAAGAGTCCTTTTTCGGAAAATATACGGGTGTGCTCCGATGAAATAAACCCGTATATTGTGGGAATGGTTGCTTGTATGGTTGGTGTAGCTTTTCGTACCATTCGCAGCTTTTCTTTATATCATTTATTTTTAAGACAAAGTTCAATGATATCATTAAACTACTGGTGCTAAATTAGCCTGAAAAGAGTTAGGTGAACTTACTAAACTTTCTCTAGAAATGTTTGTTGTTAGATATCCAAAGTCTGGTAATTTTTTCATGTATACTGCATTTATATTCCATAAAATGTCTGTACTTTGAAATGCCATTATTTATATATAGCGTGATGAGTTAAGTCGATGAGCTATTGTAGTCTGTCTGTTTATATGTATGAGTTATCAATCTAAACATTTTCAGATTAATTTAAAAGTTGACTTCTCTAACTAAACCTTTTGATTGTTGGGTATATTTCATCGTACATAGACCCATGCTTATTTATAACCTATTTTAAATGTACATTAAATTTTCTTTTTATCCGTAAAAGTTAATAGTTTTTTTAACCGAGCTTTCAATTTCGATGATGGAATGAAATATGTTGTCGCCAAAAAATTTTTTATAGTCTCACAGGAACCTCTGACTTTTATAAGGTGTAAAAAATACTCAATTATTGTTGCTTTAAGTTGAAGATTTTATTTAGCTTAGTTAGATGGATCCGATTTGGGAAAATAACGTTTTGTTCGATAACTTTCAACCTCACACACACAAAGACCCTCGTCTCTGGGACTGTAGATATTCACAAGCTTTACTTGAAGCGAATTTTTCACCAGGAACACAATTCCTTTCCTATTGACCAAAGCAGGACGATTCTGGGCGAAACATATCAAACCTTCTTGATCGCAATTCTGGCTTGGCCACCGATGGCACCGGCTCACAGCCATTCGCTTCACAAATGGATCGATTTTTGCGATTCAGCAGCGATTCACAGATGGAAATTCGGTCCCTGAGATTTTGATTACTCGTGTGTACTCAAACTTCGAACTTTTTGTATACAACCTTATTCAAATGGTTCCAAAGGTTTTTCGTGCAACGTTGGATTGCTGGGCAATTAAAGAAGGTGCCTACGAGGCGGTCGGACGTGCTACATCTCCAGAATGTAGTGCAGATTTGATATCAAAATTATCGGAACGGAATCGACGAGCCTAAAATCGCCTTTAATTGGCTGTAACAGTATCAGGAATAAATAATAGTGTTTATATTTACATTTTCAGCCGGCTGGTTTGCGTTTTCACTTTTATCGAGGCAAAACTCTAAAATGTGGGTATTTGCGATTTGCTGGTTTCATATTTGACACTGTTAGAGCAATATTGAGTCAAGCAATTAGAAAACTGTCCAGTGGCGGATTTAGAATTTTTCCCGGAAGGTTTTTCCTTCCACCATATTTTTAATATTGATATTACTTCATAAATTCTTCTGAATTTGAATTCAAATCTCCGATTTTGGGGAGTTTTGACCCAAACACAACACCCCTCTCCAGTGAATCCGCCACTGAAACTGTCTGAAGATACGATAAGAAGCTTGATTATAATCTCAAAACTGTTTACCGATTCAGTTCGATCGGATCATGATAATAGTGATAGATACTCTCATACCGTAACATATGTGTTTTTAAATTTACCTACATAATATATAGTACATACTTATGTAAACGGTACGCAAAATTTGGTATTAATGGCAAGAGGGCTATAGTTCTAAGTTTGCAATTGTATGAAAATATTTGGTATTCCATACATAATTTTCAATCTTAGTTTGTTCACGATTTTTTTTTAACTCATATATTATGACATACAAGTTTTATCCTAAATAGGAACATATGCTTTAATATTTCAGTTTATTACAAAAAAATCTATATTTATATGACTATATGTATATTAGAGTGTAGCAGAAAAACTCAGCAACAAATACATACTTACATACAATGTCCCTATATTTGTATATGAAGGTCTTCGGCGCACAGACCAATCAGCAAAGCGCACAAATCCGAATCTTTTCCACCACGGCGTCAGAGCGCAGTGCAGCGCCTCATTGGCCGTGGGAAGTTATGTGAGAGCACGTGCTGTTGATTTTCGCTTAAGTTGTTTTGTTGCCACATTAAGTGTTGTTACTATAAATTGCTCATAGTGGTTGGTGTAATTTCAAATTCCAATACATACACCATACACCGTGAACATGGACACCAGCAACGTCGTAGGCAAAAGCAACAGCTGACACATTCGAAACCTTATAAACGCAACCCAATCCAAAGGCTCCACAAAAGGTCTCAGCAAACACGTCGACACACATACACATCTATACAAATGTATGGAATACACCAACAACTACAGCGAAGGCACGAAGAACGTTGCAACAAAGCGACTGGCTTGCAACGGCTGTGTGCCACCACCGAATGTGAGAGAGCATGCTCAATAAGATTTACCTGTCGTCTACCTGCCGACCGAACTGTGGTGAATTGGTTGTATGGCAAGGAAATCAGTATAAATACCGCTACCAGGAGACTGTTGAAGGCATACGCATACAGGACGTGAACGTGTAGACAATTACTCACTAGTTAACTGTACAATACTTCCAGATTTTTTGAGAACTCGTAATACATTCGACGAAAATCGAAGACAACATGTCGTCCAGTGAAATATATCGTTACTATTATAAAACCTCCGAGGATTTGCAGGCATTCAAATCGAATGCGAACGAGATGTTCTTTAATCCTATGGCGGCTTACAATCCGCCACCGCTGGTGAGCGTCAATCAGCAGCATCATCATCTGCAGGAGCAGCAGCAACAACAGTATAATTGCACGCCCAACAACAATTTCTTGCCTGCCAACGGTTTCATCACATTCGAGCAGGCATCCTCCGACGGCTGGATTACTTCCTCACCGGCGAGTCATCGCTCTGAAAGTCCAGAATATGTGGATCTCAATACTATTTATGCTAATGGTGCGCATAGCGGCGCACATCCGTTGCACGCGACTGTAACACAATTCGGTTTACATTTGGAATCGCCATCAGCGCCGACTACACAATTAACAGGCTTGACAGAGACCACATCAGCAACGAATGATCCAAAAACGATTGCGTCCAAAACGCAAAACAGCAGTACTACAACTAAAGCAAAGCGTTCTTATACGCGCCGCACACCAAAAGCAGCACCAGCTCCAACAACTTCACCTTCATTGCCGCCAATCACCAGTGATGCTATCATTTCCATTGCCACCAATGCCGCCGCTGCGATTAGTGCTAATCCGCACGTAATCACCAATACCCCCTACACGCACGACTTCCAAAGTTTCGACTTCGACCAAGCCGCTGCTTTATTTGATGGTGACAGCGTCGACGACGAGGATATGGACGATCATATGTTGCTCTTCGGCGCCGATGATGACTTCGAAGCTGCCGATGGTTCCTTTGAGCTAGCTGATCAATCCGCTGCCATGCAAACGAAGGATGATTCCCCAGCGTCCACACAACCCGGCGCCAAGAAGCGTCGTGGCAAGCAAATCTCGCCCGTTGTCAAGCGTAAACGTCGTTTGGCCGCCAACGCGCGCGAACGCCGACGTATGCAGAATCTGAATCAGGCTTTCGATCGGCTGCGTCAATATCTGCCGTGTCTTGGTAACGATCGGCAACTTTCCAAGCATGAGACGTTGCAGATGGCTCAAACTTATATTGCGGCATTGGGCGATTTATTGCGTTAAGCTAAAAGGAAAGTACTGGTGCGAGTTTTTTTTCATTGTGAGATACAAATGACTGAGTTAGACAATACAAATGTAAATATGTAGTTGAAGTTTACTTAGTTCTAAGCGTGTATGTGTTGATGTATATTTATTTAGAATTAGTTGGGTTTGATAAAAAGAATATTTGTAATATTTAAAAATAAGAAAGCCAAATATTGTGCATAAGAAACCGGAAGACAACATTATGTCTAAGTTAGTTAAAAATAAAATAATTAACAAATTAAATGATGGACTTTTAATTGGCTTACCGACTATTTTGAGCTAGTCCACAAAAAGAGTTAGACAATTATTCGCTTTGGAACCTCAAATTTAGCTAAGTTCTTCAGTAAATGACTTCGAGCTTTGACGTGCTCCTCTCTTTGTCCTCAAACATCGATATTTGTGCGCGATTCCTGAATCCAAAAGCGCGTACATCTATACGGATAAATGAACTGAATCGGAATTATACTGAAGCTCAAATTTATCTTTTGTTGATTTCGTTTGATCTTCTGCTGTCATAGTAATGATTTTAATATAATATAAATAATAAAAACTACGAGCATTTATTTGAGGTCATCACTATTCCGTCCGACTCTAAAGCTAAGGATCGAATTAATATCCGATTAATATCCGTTGAGCTCTTTCAGACTCATATCCGTTGTCAAAAGAAAAGTCGAACTACTGTTAAGCATATGATTTCGATTAGCTTTGATGTTTTTTAAGCGGGGGTGCATATATTCGACGCTCTGTCTCCCATAATAGTTGATACTTTAAAACTAGTTATAACCGAGTAGTAGAAAATCATATTTTTCGAACACACTTGAAGGTTAGGATTCATCGTCTTCTACGGGAATCTTGAAATTGCTTTCTCTCAGTAGAATAAAGAGATATTTGTGCCTAATATTTTTGGTACTTCACTTTAATATTTAAGAGACAACAAAAATGCGAGTGAGAGGATTGAAAAAGAGGAAAATCACTTCCCCTTTCCCCGGCAGTCGCGTCTATGTAACAGGAATGCTCCCAGATTTCTTACCTGCGCTATAGAGCAAACTAATGTTAACATATTTGATCTAACTAAAAATCTCAGTTATAAATACAATAGTATTGTTTTCGGGTGGAACTATAGATAAACCATTTTCATACTTCAAGTACGATATTAGAAACAAATGTTTGGGGGTCTTTCCGAATTTTTTAGTTATATTTAGAGTTCTCGCTGTTGTTTTTAATGAAAATTAAGTTTTATTGTAAGGAAATGGTTACAAAAGAATTATTCGAAGTATTGCTTATGCCTAGTCACAACCTTTTCTCATCTTTCTGGCAAAGCTCGAACACCATTAAAGTAAAACTATTCATCTTGTGATGCTATCCAAGAATCGAGACATTTTTCGTTTCGTCTTGTGAGTGGAACTACTTCTGAGCCAGACCATGTGCCATCGAAAGGAACAAATTATAATCGGACGGTGCAATATGACGGGTGAGGTAGAATCCTCATCGAGCAACATCTCCAATTCACCGTCTTCGAAGGTTTTTGGCTTTTCTTCATGCGGACGGTCGTTAATATCGAAATCGCCGTCTTTGAAGCCATGAAACCAATCACTGCACGTTGTTTCACTTGGGGCAGAACCTCCGATTTCACTTAATGAAAGAAGAAAATCAACACTTTCCACAAATGATGATTATTTGGCAAAAAATCGGGCATATTCGTACCACTAAAAGACACATAAACAAAGACACTTATGTAAAAACACAGTTTCTTTTTCAAATTTCTAGGTTAAGTTTATCACGTTTTGGAGATATTAAACTCGATCACCACTAACTGCTGGAGCCATCTATTGACAAACAGCGGAAACTTATTTGCGGACCTAATACACAATGGTCTCCGTATTATACCATAATTCTGTTTTCTAAACTTCTGAACTCGTTCTGTTTACTTGGCTGTAGTGGTCGTAGATTATTTGTCGAGTCGGACTTATCGGAATGTATGCACGCGTATGTTAAATGTAAGCAAGGATAATCGATATGAGAGTATCTGCAGGTGAGATTAGGTTTTATCTAAAAAGAAACAGTTGAAAGCTCTAAAATTAATTATTAATAGTCGCATTGTGTTGGAGTAGCTCGTTTAACCCCTTTTTAATCCCTATTTTGAATGAATATGTATATATATTTGTATATACATATATATAAATGCATGCAAACACTTGTGCTCATAATCATTTGTAAAACATGAAAAGCTGCGAAATTATCACATGAAAGAAGCTTCCGTTTCTCTCACCTTGTTAGCGGCATCTTTTGTTTGCTTGTCTGGGCTCCCACGTGCAATCGATCGCATCGAACCTGTGTTTTCTCAGGCTGCAGACAAAGTGACCAGTCAATTTGTCAATTATACAAATTGTCGACTTGGCTACCCGAAAATTGTCGATTCGCATAGCCACAGTCAACGATGCAACGGACCGTTTTTGGTCCATTCTTTGGCACAGATTGCGACATGTTGCAAACGCAAGAAAGTTAGCAAAACCGCGTCGAAATGCCACCTGCATGCAGCTGCCAAAGCACTGGGGTTGCGGAGAGCAGTAGCGGCCATATCAAGTGCCGGGTCAAGTGGAGCAAAGGATGCACTCTAAAGGCATCAATAATGAACAATGAATGAGTGGTGGAGCTGCACGCAGAAGCCGAATGGAACGCAATTGAATGGTACGCATCGATATGCGTATTGAACCGAACTGAAACGGGCGGCAAGAGAAATGCCAAACGCATCGCAAGCGTGGAGGGTTAAAGAAGCCGAAAACCGCACAATCTTCATCAAATCGCATGTCTTTGTCAATTTTATGCAGTTTTCTGTATCATTCGCTTTTGGCCCAATAACAACAACAGCAAAAACATTTTAATCCTGAAAAAAGTGTGGCTACAAAGTGAAGATCAGCATACAGCAGCCCAAACCGCCATTGAGGGTAAGATGAGCCAAGCTGAACTGAGCTGAGCCGACAAAACGTCACCACAACAGCATCTTATTGCGGCGTGTGTGACTTGGGGCTGCGCTTTTATGTGGTTAAGCCAAACGCTGAAAAGAAATTTGTTATAAGCTTAATTGGTTGTCTATACAACACCTTATTTTGCGATTTTTTTTATGCCTTACTGGGGGCTTCAGCATTTTTTGGGGACGCATGACAAAGAGATTAAGGCATCGTCTGACATTTAGACTGAATCGTTTAATGAACTTTAACACCATCAATTTGTCACTGCTTGTTAGTGTCGAAATTTGGGCACCGCCAGTGTGATTGAGCGGTTGAGCGTCTGGTTTTGTGGTGAGGATCATCTTCAGTATGAATTACAATGATGTTGAGTTAATTTTGTGAGTTCTATTTTCTTATTAGCCCACAAACCCCGGTTAAATCTTTGTCAAAAATATTTAGTCGTCACACGAAAATTCGAGCTTGTTTGATATTGACTGCATGAGCTGTCAGATGTCTCCATGGTGTCTGTAGTTCTTCAGTTATGTATACAGGTTTAAGATTTATACATAGGAAACTTCATCTTCAATTTTCAAAACCTTTAGCATGGTTTTGAAAATTAAATTGTGGGAAAAAACAAGAAAAAATGTTAACTTTGGTTGCCCCGAAATTAGAATACACTTCACAAATAAAATTTTTTTCATAAAAAACCTTAGTTTTGATCGGTCAGTTTGTATGACAGCTATATGCCATAGTGATCCAAATTAAACAAGTTCTTTGGAGTTGGTACCGTTGTCTAAGACAATAAGATATCTTTGCAAATAAAGAAGTTTTCCATATAAGAACTAGATTTAGATCGGTCAGTTTGTTTGGCAGCTTTATGCTATAGTGGTCCCATATCGACGGTGTCAACGAATGAGCAGCTTCAAAATTTTCAAATCAGTATCTCAAAAAATAACGGACGAGTTCGTGTACGTATACAGACGGACAAACAGACAGACGGACATGGCTCAACTTGTGACGATGATCATTTAAATATATTTTTTATAGGGATTTTAGACGTTGTATTCTAGCAAATGTAATATACCCCTTTCAGGGTATAATACAGTCAGATGTAAATTTTTAACCTGCCTTTTTACTGCCTCAGGTTTTGCCGTGAATTATTAGGAAATTTCTATTTTGAAGCAGTATTATATGATTAGTATTCATTTTGCCTAGTTCCATTTTTAGCTGGCAATTATTAAAACATTTTTTTAATTCTTATTCTTTAATTTTATTATTCTTTTTAAGTGACGCAACGTTTTCAGATTTCATTGATCATGTCGCTCTCGTCTAATTTCTTTCTTCCTTATATGTAAGCAACGCGCCCTTGTGATCCTTTTGAAGTCTAACCATCATTTTTCTAATACCCATCTTATGTTTAAGGTTTATAAGTATATGTGTAGGTGTGTGTTTGTGCGTATTCTTGCCAACATCCTTCAAAAACCTTTTATTTGTCGGGTTTTGCTTACATTTGTTGTGTGAATTCCTTCAAGCGTAATTGCTAGTAATTTTAGTGTTTTTTAGCAGAAAAAAATTGTGTGGTTTTTCGTTGGGATTTCGCCCCACTATTTTGTTCTTTGAGTGCGGGTTCACGGTTTGATTTTTTTGTAAAAAAAATGCAATTGTATTTAATTGCTTGCGTAAACGATAATTTAAACGTCACACAATTTTCGGCGACTTCCGTTTTCTACTTGATGTTGTGTTTTTGGTTTATTGTTTAAAGATTTGCCAATATTATGACAATAAAGTGATATCTGAGTAGTTTCAAAAACACTGTAGCCTTAAGAATTTTATATAAAACCTTATAGACCTCACCTCACCTCACCTCCACAAACTTAGTTTAAAATTTTTCCAGCCATGGTCTCTAGAAGTTATTCTCCTCCGTCGAATATGGGCCCAACTTATAATGCTTGATCCATATTAGGAGATAGCGTTATATCTTCACCCGCTATATTTTTTCTGACTTCATCTATTTCAATTTTGTTTTTTTGCTTTTTGAAGTCACCGCAGACGGACCAAGAATTGTGTATCACTTTTTGTCACAAAAAAATATGTGACGTATTGAGAGAATGTAGTTTTTTCATTAAGCCATGAAAGGCAATATTTATAGTATAGCGTATATAAAATATTATAATATAACACTTTAAAGAAGAAAATTGTAGTATGGTCATCAGTTACCCTATTTAATTGTTCGTAGTACTCTGTCAGTTCTTATTCTCCTCAAGTAGTTGCTCATTTGTTGGAA